CCTTCACTATCCCTATATTGATTATAGGAAATAAGATTATGTGATCAATAACTTCTGAGGTTAAAAAGAAATTTTTATAACTTTTGATAACTTTTCCTTCAAATAAATTCTCTAAGGTATTTAGAAAAGAAAATTTTAATAATTCTCTGTCAAATCATTGTATGCTTCCTATCACCTGATTATAAAATACTATTGGATTTTTAAGTTTTTGTTTCTTTAGTTTTGTCACATTAAGAGTCATCAATACTACCATCTGATTAATCTAATGCCAGGAATATCCAGCAATCCCTGTACCAATGGATGAAAGATTACTCCAAACTTTGCTGTGAAAGAGAGGAGAAGGTGAGAAGGTGAGGGGGTCAAGGCTCAGAGAGGAAGACCCTTTGCTCTTCTTTGCTTCACTTTTATTGGTCCTTCAGGATAATCACAAATCCTTATCACTGTTCCTCAAGCACCTGATGTGTGACAAGGGGTCTTACTGAAACTGAGAGGATTTACAGGAAAGAAAAGATATGCTGATCTGCATGTTCTGCTAAACATAGCCTAGGATACAATGCATACATCTCTTAGATTACAGGGCGGCTGTTTGGACTAAGAGAGTTTAGGGGAAGGCAACTCCCCGCAGCATTCCAATGGCAGAGTGGTCTTGTGCCTTGGCATTCCAAAGGCCTAGCCCTTCTCTGAAACCTTCCATCGCCCCCAGCAGCCTCCGTGTTAGCAAGCCAGGTATTATGGCTGATTTCATGCTCTGCATTAACCCCAACAATCTAAGACAAAACTGAGCCAAACTGTCTGTGATGAGTTAATAAAAATCATGCTGAACCATGAATTGTGCAGACTAAGGGTTTATTCCTCTAGTGGGAAGAAAATAAAAGCTTTTTCTTTCTTATTTTTCTTAATTCTAAACCATGTTTTACATCAGGTAACATCTGAAGCTCCAGAGGAAAACAACAAGTTTGTGCACTTTATAAATACAGGGATTTTTTTTTTTTTTGAACACCAACTTCACATATGTGCAGTAAGAGTAATATATAATAATACAGTGAAACATTTCAACTAATGAACAGTTTCATATTATTCATAATTCATAGCTTTTCTTTATTTAGCACTGAGACCCTTAAGTCTACCCTACTTGAGCCAATTGTTTATTAACGTGTGTAACACATGTGACATTCTTCATAGCCCATAAGCCTATTGCCTTCATTATACCTTTTCCCCAGGACAGACATATGGCAATCCTAGCACATATATTACATTAAATATAAAATACACTACCAACAGAATCTGATAAGGGAAATCTGTGTCCTAAGAGGGCCGCCTGAGGCAGGGAGAGAGTCCCAGTCCTTGCCCCGGGGCTCTTCCGGGTTCTTCTCCCTGCCCCACTTCGAGCACGCACCAAAAGTGCCAAGAATGCAGAAGTAGAAGTGTATAAATTATCCCCTTTGTTTGTGCTCAGGGCTCAGACCTTTGGAGATCACTCTCCTCTGAGCCTGCCAGCGTTAAATAAACTTCCTATCCTCTAAGATTCCCGAGTGCCACTTGGTTCTTCCATCAGACAATCCAGTCCAGTTTCCGTAACATTTGGTTCTCTGACCAGGAAACCCAACTGTGCTGGCCCATTGTTGCCACCAGTTTGGGGGCAATGGCAGGGCAGTGATAGAATGAGAGATCATAACAGAGAAGGTGTGCCCAGCCTAATTCTCGACAGTGTCCTTTCCCTGTCGCCTCGGCCTGGCCCCACTCCGCTGTTCCTGCCAGACTCAACGAGACTTGACAGGTGATGACCTGGTCCCAACATCAGACTACGGTAAGGCCTGGGGCCCCAGGATCCAGACAGGGCCACACCTATTGGAGTGGAAGGGGAGCCTGATCACCACCCAGAGACCTCTTAGAGGTCTCACAGGTAGGGATTCCCAGGGAGGGAATGTAGTAACTTCTGGGGTGAATGTGTGAGTGAATGTGCAGTCTGACCTGGCTTGCTCAAGTGGACTGATTCTATGACTCCACGGGTGGGCACCCTTAAGGTCCCCAGAAGCCTACAGAGTCTGAGTGTGCCCGTCTGCGATTCAGTGGTGAATGGAATATAGTCTATGGCAGCATTGGAATAGTTTCCAATGATAAGTCACAAGGCTGAGACTGCTAAGGCTAAGGCTCACCTAAGCTCCTTCGGGACATGGCCAGAGGGGAATCTGATTAGTCTTCTCACCTCAGGAGGCACCCCCCTTTGTCTGTCTCTGTGCCACCCCACACGGGGACATCACCATGGGGTCAGGGCAGAGTAAACCTATGGTTCTAGAGACCATGATCAAAACTTTCAAGAAAGGGTTTTTGGGAGACTATGGAGTCAGGATGAACTCCAGCAAGTTGAGAACCCTATGTGAATTGGAATGCCCCACCTTTGATGTCGAGTGGCCTTCAGAAGGGACATTGGATGTCCCAATGATTCGTCAAGTATGGCGAGTCATAACAGGAAAACCAGGACACCCCGACAAGTTTCTGTACATTGACTCCTGGCTAGGGATTGCTCAGACCCTTCCCCTCTGCCTGCGATTCGCTTGCAATAGACAGGGACAGGGCAGGGTCTTAATCGCCTCATCCAAGAGACCTAAAGAAAATTAGCAAAAGCCCCAGTCTCCACAAATCCTAGCCGGACACTCCGAGGATTAACTGACCCTACCCCCACCATACGTACCCCCAAAACTGTCTACATCTGGCCCTTCAGGTCCAGACATTCCACAGCCATCGGTTTCACCGGTGCCCCCAGGCCCAGAGGATCCACCAGTGCCCCCAGACCCAGAGGATCCACTTTCTCCAGGACCAGAAGCCAGGCTGCACCCCAGGCCAGGCGCAAGTGCCCTCCAAATGCTGGTACGAGAGACGCGGGAACCCGAGAGGCACGATGAAGATGGGACGGTCCAACCCGGCCATTCCATGATGTATTATCAGCCCTTCTCCACCACTGACCTCCTCAACTGGAAACATAACACCCCATCCTACTCTGAGAAACCACAGGCTATGGTAGACCTCATAGAATCCCTCTTCCAGACTCATCGGCCAACCTGGGAAGACTGCCAACAGTTACTCAGAACCCTGTTTAACACAGAGAAAAGGGGGAGAATAATGAAAGGTGCATGGCAGTACCTGGAAGAGCATGCACCAGCAGGAGTCATCGACCCTGCTGCTTGGGAGAAGAGAGATGCCATCAAGAAGGCCTGCACCAATGAAGCCTGCCTGATTGAAATACTCACCTCCCACAGCAATGAGCACATCCAGGAATCGAGCAGAGGCTACAAAACAGAATTCTAAAAGACCCTGGAGGAGGCTATTCAAGACCACAAGTCAGAACACCTCCAGAAACTCCTCATCACTCTCTCAGGAAAACCAGGTGAGAGCACAAAAGTGGACTTGCTACTCATCCAGAGACATGTGGAGGAGCTAACTGTGGCTGGGGAGGACTGCCCAGGCAAGTTCAAGGCCTTTCTGTGCTTGCAGAGGCAAGCCCAGCAGGTGACAGTTTTCAGTGAGTATCAGAGAAGACAGGGGGAGACATTGAGAAGAACATCTGCCGGAAGATGTCTGGGGACGCAGGGTAGGCAATGCGGGTAGTGGTGAAATGTTTCAAGAATAACCCAGCCTTTTGTGCCAAAAGGTTCAGCAAGGCCATGAGGGGAGCAGGAACAAAGGATTGACCAGGGTATTACTGGAAGATTCTTCTGAAGATCTGTGGTGGCAACGACTAAGCAATGACTAGTGACTCACTTCTGTTCACCTGCTGGTAATAACCAGACCAGGAAAAGGCCAAAAGAATGTCCATCTGATTCTAACAAATCCACAAAATAGCTCCTGAGGTGTCCCAGTGCTGACCATCCATGGAGCCATGGCTCTCTCCCCCTGCTGCCCTTCCTGATCCTCTGTGATATTGGTCCTGAAGGATGAGCTCTCTCAGGATGCCTTTTCCTCCCCACACCTCACAGCTTCTTGCTGCTTAAGTGGATGTTTTATTTACTGACTCAGGCAATCATTCCCCTTTGCCTGTGGCTGAGACACTTGGCTTTATTTTAATCATGTAATTCTATGTTGAATGTGGAGGCAATCATTCCCCTTTGCTTGTGGCTGAAATATTTGGCTTTATTTTAGTCAGGTAATTTTATATTTTATTTGGAGACATGTATTTGTATGTATGTCATTGCTAGACAGATGTATACAAGTCTCTTTGCTGCATACACATTTTGGGTGAGAGAGTTTGGGTGTGGGAGAACCGTTTCCTCAAGGAGTGAGAAAAGGGAAGACTTTTAAGGGTAATCTTTGCATCTGGTGAGAATGCATCACAAGCTTTGTTATTGCCATAGTCACTCCTTTTTAGAAAAGAAAAGAAAAATAAAGAGGTCAGAAAGTCATCTATTCCTTCTTTCATGAAAAACCAGGAGACAAGGTAATTTGTGTAATTTGGAGTGATCCTTAAACATGAATGTCTATAACCAAAAGCTGTTTCTAAATTAAAGTCAGCCCCCTCTGGGGAGGGGGAGAAGGTAAAATATATAACATAGTACATATGAAAATTTAAAATGTTTAAATTTAAAAAATATATATATGTATATATATGTGTATATATATGTGTATATATATGTGTGTATGTATGTATATGTGTGTGTGTATATATATATATATATATATATATATATATAAAGTCAATACTCATGTTTATTAAAAAAAAACACATAAAACAAATGGATTCACATCAAACACTTTAGCATGGTGGTCATGAAATGGTAAATTATTAGAAGAGAGGAATAGAGTGTTTGCCGTCCCCACTCTGCGGGGGTGGCTTGCTAATGCCAGGGCCGCCTCTCACTCCCTGAGCTCCAGCTGAAGGAGAAGGGGAATAAGTAAGGAGGTCTCTACACCATGGCTCCTACAAAGCCGCCTGCCCACAAATCCACCGGGGGTAAAGTACTGAGGAAACAACTGACTATAAATCCACCTGCGAGAGTGCGCCCTCTATGGGAAGGGTGAAGAAACCTCGTCCTGACAGGCTGGTTTTGTGGCACTCTGTGAAATTAGACTTTATCAGGAGTCCACTAGAACTTCTGATTCGCAAACTTCCTTTCCAGTGTCTGGTGCAAGACGTTGCCCAGGAGTTCAAAACAGATCTGTACTTCCAGAGTACAGTTATTGGTACTTTCCAGAAAGCAAGTGAGGCCTATCCGGTGGGCCTTTTGGAAGACACCAACCTGCGTGCTCTCCATGCCAAACATGTAACAATTATGCTAGCACAGAGGACACGTACAGAAGTGTTTAAGAATCCACTCTGATGGAAAATATTTTATTCTTTAAAAACATTTTATTCTTTAAAAAGTTTTCTCTTCTTGTTATTGGTAGTTCTGAACGTTAGATATTTTTTTTCCATGGGGATCAAAAGGTACCTAAGTATATGATTGCAAGTGAAAAAATAGGGACAGAAATCAGGTATTGGCAGTTTTTCCATTTTCATTTGTATGTGGATTTTTAATATAAATGTGGGGACATAAAGTATTAATGCAAGTAGAAATGTTTCAGTGAACATGTTTCAGCAGTTCAACCTTATAACAATTATAAATAAACCTGTTAAGTTTTTCTGGGAAAAAAAAAAGGAAGAGAGGGATAGAAATAAAAAGAAACAAAGAGATAAATGAATAAAACAAGAGAAGTGTTGGGTGAAGGGGGTGAAAAGGTACAAACTTTCAGTTATAAGATAAATAAGCTAGGCACCATACTTAAGTAATTCTTTACTATTATTGTGTATTTTACAAACTTATTTAGTTAGCCTTATATGTGATTATGTTTTTCCCTGGGTACAGAATCCCAGTTTTAAAATAATTACACACTAAGAATGCAATATAAAATCTAGTGCTGCCAAAACAAAACAAAACAAAACAAAAAACACATGACACCAATATGAATCTCACTTATTTGTAAATATCTGTTCATGGTAGTTTTCTGACATTAACGATCCTGGAGTTTGTGTTATCTGTTTGATTATTATTTCCCTGTTTTCTCTTCCTGGAATATGCATTATAGGAATGTTATATCTAATGGTCTGTGCCTTCATGTATGTTAACTTTCTTCCTTACATTCCATATCTTCTCATTTATTTCTACATTTGGCGAGGGGCTGTTTTCATGGACTTTGCTATCCAGGCCCTCTACACATTTTTTAAAAATTTTAGCAACCATTTTCAGTTTTCATTTTTAGGAACCCATTCTTGCTCTCTGATGGTTCCTATTGCCTAGCATTATTTTTTCTTTTTAAATGATACCATATCTTTTCAGATTTCTCTTATTAGCTGGCTTACTGTCATCATCGTTATCTTTATCATCAACATCATCACTATTGTCTCAAATCACATTTTAAACATTTTTGTTGTTTCCTGATTTTTTGCTGTTTCATCTAGAGTCCATTGATCAGTTTTTCCATCAGGATCTTTCTCTTTGGTGTTGTTTTCATTATATGTTTGGCACTCTTTGCTGTCCACTCATATGTATGAATTAACTGTTAAGTTGATTCACTGAGGATACTGGTATATATTCTCTCTGCTTTTCTGTTGTTCTCCCTTTTGATTAAGAGCACTGAAGTGTGCCCTGCTTCCCTAGATTATTGCTTTTCAGATGGGGGGTCTGAGAGCCCCCTCAGTCCATCAACCATCCCCCTCATTTAGGTAAAAATCAGTTTCTTAACTTTTTTTATAGCTACTTGGCATAAAGATGAGGACATTTAGGGGTCTCTCCTGAGAGGAAGAGCTACATCATTGTCTTGTCAGTGCAGTGGACTAGGACTTGTGTCTTTTTAATTTATCTGTCAATAAAATTCAATTTGTATAAAGTCATCCATAAATTCTTCACGATCTCTGGTTCACGTCCATTCCATCATTATCATTATGATTTTATTGTGATCTGTACTACTTTGCTGTCATTTCACTGTGAATTTATGAGAGGGAGGACAGATAATAACAATAGTAAAACACACACACGTCCCATGTACGGCAAACATATTTATACACAGACACACACACAATAGTGTATAAGTCAGGATTTTCCAGAGAAATAGAATAAATAAGATGGATGGATAGATAGATAGATACGATAGATATAGAGTTTTATTATAAGCAATTGACTCATACAATTATGAAGGTTGACAAGTCCCAAGATCTGCAGTCTGCAAACTAGAGACCCAGAAGAGCCAATCTGCGGTTCCAGTCTGAATTCAAAGTCCTGAGATGGAGGAGAGCAGATGCTATGTTTCAGTCTGAAAGCTGGTAGACCTAAGACCCAAGAAGAGTCAATGTTTCAGTTGGAATCTGAAGGCCAAAAAAGACCAATGCACCAGCTCAGAGTGGTCAGGTAGGAGGAGTTCCTTTCACTCAGGCTTTTTGTCTTATTAGGTCTTCAGCTGATTGGATAAGACCCACTCACAATAGGAAGGGAAATCTGCTTTATTCAGTCTTCCAATTCATATGTTAATCTCATCCAGAAACTTCTTCACAGACACACCCAGAATAATGTTTGGCCAAATGTCCAGCCTCCTCATGCTCAGTCAAGTTGCTGCATAAAATAAAATGAACGATTGCAAGTGACTAACACTTATATATAGTTTATAATGTGTTTGATAGTGTTCCTATATATTTCATAGTATATTAGATGTTTTATACATATAGTGAGTTCTTGTTATTTACAGTAGCTATGTTCTAGAATGTCAATGCAAACAATGAATTGATGAACACTGAATCATTGCTCCTAGTGAAAATACAAGGTAAAGTTTCTGACCTCTAGTCAGAACATTTTAGGCAAACATTTAATATATAACCTTGTTTTATATGTGTTTCTCTTTAAAGATATCTTATTTAACACATACTGTTCTCTTTAAGGCACATCACCCACATCTTCTGCTTAGGAACATTAGATAACACTTCAGTACTACACTTGGGGTCATTTTAAACAGTGAAATTACCCACAAAAAGTACAAAATGCAAAAGAATGTGACACTAAATAGACTGCAAAGAGGATATTTGTTCATAGCATGAGAGCTGATACCAGAAGGCAGAGTGTCACGTTGTTGGACCTGAGATGAAAATGTGCATGTCAGGTGATTCAAATCTTTTTACCACTCTGAATATGTCTGCCAATGATCATAAAAGCACTGTGAGTATTTTTTTTTAAAGATTTTATTTATTTATTTATTTGAGACAGAATGAGAGAGAAAGAGAGAGCTCATGAGGGGGGGGGGGGGTCAGAGGGAGAAGCAGACTCCCCGCCGAGCAGGGAGCCCGATGTGGGACTCGATCCCGGGACTCCAGGATCATGACCTGAGCCGAAGGCAGTCGCTTAACCGACTGAGCCACCCAGGCGCCCAAGCACTGTGAGTACTGATGTGGGATTTCCATACACGTTTTGGGGAAAATCTATGAATAACAAAGATAGACTATATATTACCATCTGCAAGTTGCTGTTATAAACATATATGTCCTGGGGCGCCTGGGTGGCTCAGATGGTTAAGCGACTGCCTTTGGCTCAGGTCATGATCCCGGGGTCCTGGGATCGAGCCCCGCATCAGGCTCCCAGCTCAGTGGGGAGCCTGCTTCTCCCCCTCCCTCTGCTTCTCCCCCTGCTCATGCTCTCTCTCTCTGTCTGTATCTCTGTGTCTCAAATTAATAAATAAACAAATCTTAAAAAAAATAAAAATAAAAATAAACATGTATGTCCTTTAACACACAAGAACCCTGGGATGGAAACTAGATGCTTGGGCTCCACGTCTCTTCTCTTATATACTCTGCCTTTCAACATCAACCAGAAAACAATTTCTTTACTTTTAACAAAGTATTTGGGGTGCCTGGGTGGCTCGGTTGGTTAAGCACCTGCCTTCAGCTCAGGTCATGATCCCAGGATCCTGGGATCAAGCCTCCCATCTGGCTTCCTGCTCAGTGGGGAGTCTGCTTTTCCCCCTCCCACTCTCTCTCTGTATACATGAGCTCTCTCTCTCTCTCTCAAATAAATAAATAAATAAATCTTAAAAAAACACACAAAAAAACAAAGTGTTTGATTCCACGTGTTTTATTCAGATCTCTAGATTAGAATTTGTTGTCATCATTTAAGTACCATAAAATGCAACATTGGATTTTGTTAGTAATTTGTTAATAAATACAAAACCGTGTTTGCAAATTAGGATCTCATCAAATATTTTGTGATCAGCTCTTGCTAACTACCTTATTATCATTTCATAATTTATAGAAGTTAAACGGAACATTTAAACTAACTGAAAATAAATAGTGCATTTGTGATTAGATAGAATGTTTACAAATTTCATTGCAAATATATTAATAAACACACCTTATATGCAAATGCTTGTCGAATTGCTTTTTTTTTGCTGTTCATTGAGATCCAACATGATCTGTTTTCTTATATGCTCTTTATTAAGTAGTTCGGATGCACAGCTAAGGAAGCAAACAGCTCATAGATTGCCAGACAGCATCCTCTTCGGCTCAGAGCAGGTGCTTTCATTGCTTTTATACTTCTCCTACGGGTGAGTTCTTCCAGCTCCTGAGGAGGTGGTAATGCGCATCACTTTCATCAATACCAGCTTCAATCCAAGGCATGTCGCTCTTAAAATAGCAGTGAACATAAACCATCTGCATTTAAGTACTTGACATTTTGGTAAAATATGACAGCTATACTAAAAACTCCAACTGTTTGACTTGAATTCCTCTGATCTTCTTTTTTTTCTTTCTATTTTTATGGGGCAAAGGTTCAAAAACAGCACAGTTACTATTTAATGAAAACAGCAGGCAATGCTTTTCACAAACAGAGAACTGCTCTCCTATTCTCATTTGAGAGACCTGAATTTTAAAATCTCAATTCCTCCTTGGAAATCATCCTACTTTTTATTCAAATTACAAGCATTCAGGTTACCAACTGTTTGAAGAATTGAAAGAGATTTTCAATTTGAAATAGACATAAGAATCCTTTTTGCTCCAACTGGGAAAAGAAATTCAGCTTGGTGCTTCTGAATTCTGTGTAATATAATACATTGCCAAATAAGACAAAATGCATTCCGTAATGCTATTTGCATTCTTCCTTCTTTCTTTCCCTCCTTCCACCTTCCCTTCCTTCCCTTCCTCCCTCTTTCTTTCTCTCCCTTGATCCTCTTCTCTTTTGTTCCCCTCTACCACCCCCTTTCTTTCCAAAACTCTCCAGTCATTTCTATGGGTTATAAGTATTTGATTCTATCATTCACTCTTTACATATTCATTAACTGTATGTATGCACTGAGGGCCTAATGTGTA